ATTTATTTATAAAGGTGTGGGTAGAGAATATCAATATACTTATGACGCGATAAAAAAAATTGTAAATGATTCTTGGATTTATAATTATTTGGATATACCTCCATATTTTGCTGATATTTATGATACTACTGATGGTTTCTTGAAATGTGGAGTGGATGCTGATGATTTCTTTGTCTTTTCGGAATAATATGTCATGAAATCTTCGATCTTAACTTTCTACCAACAAGACGTATATTATATACGCACGTAAACACGTTCGCTTGTTCGTACGTACACATAGTACAAATCAGGTATACTGTAGTATATGTAATGTACATATTTTAAAGTCACATATGCACGTACTTCCGCAATAGTACGTACGAACAACAATTCTATAACCTTAAATTTCTCGTTGCACTACTACATGAATATATTATACGTAGCATTAGTTGATTTTTTATATGCTGTCGATATATTATTTGTGTTATCTTTTTTACAATTATATACAATATATATATACAATATACGTATTATACGTACTTTATAGGTAATATTATATATGTTTTTCTGAAAATGTAAATTTATAAAATATATTAATATTTATAAGTTTTCTACTGCTAAAGAATATGATATATTATATATATATATATATTTATATATTGTGTATATACAAAGAAACTACTGTATCAGATAGAAAAATAATATAGTTAAAAAAAAATATTAAAAAAATGCTAATAAAAGACGACTTTTTTTACACTCCGATTCTATTATTCGTATACCATCACTATAAATAATATTAATAAAAGAATGTTTTTTACATCCCGATTCTACGTATTACTCGTATACATCACATATAATAATAAAAAAATTTTTTTTTAAAATATATATAGTTCTATTAAATTAAATCAAGATAGATGACTTTTGAGACATCGTTGTCTAAAGAACAAAGGCTCAACACACATCCTAATTTGAATAAAGCTTTCTTAAACCAATCTTATCAAAAAAAATTTTTTTTTTACGTATCAAAATATTTTGCTTAAACTTTAAACAACAATTTATCCTAATTTTGATAAAAAATTTTTTTAAATCAGTTATACGAATTCGTATAACTTATTTAATGTCCAGTAGTCTGTATCTGGTATACATTCTTCGATACATACGGTATTGGTATATATATACTATATATATCGATATGTATTACTGGGCTGCCACCAATAGAAATAAGACAGATAAAAAAAATTAAGATCTTGTCTTTCACAGCTCATATTTCGATGAATTTGAAGTTATCTTGATGATTTAATAGTCAAAAGAAAGTTTAGATCTTGAGCTTTCTTTTGACTATTAAATCATAAAATTTCATCGAAATATGAGCTGTGAAAGTTAAGATATTAATTTTTTTTACCTACGTACCTCATCCTTTTACATTAACTGTATATATCTAACAAATCTACAAAGATGCACCAATCAAAAGTTTTTTTCGATTTCCTCAATTAAAATTTTGAGCAAAGTTACGGTATCTTAACAATTATCTATTAGAAAACCAAGCTCCTCTCTTTTAAATTAGTGGTTAATCATAACATTATATACAATATATATAAATATATATAAACGTGATAGATCGTTAACCTTCTAATCTAAAAAAAAAAAATTTTTTTTTTACCATATTTACAGAAAATATGCCTTGGTCGTTATTTCCAGACGATTTAAAAGCGAGTTAATGACTAATTTAGCCGAATACAATCTATAATTTTATTTTAATAAATCAACAATTATTGGCTTTCTTTAAATCATAGGTCTCAAATTAACGCACCAGAGTGTTGTGTCACGCAAATACCAGATACAATGATATCTATCGTTAAAATGAATTCGATGAAAATTATTTATTTGAATTCTGTATGTTAGTAGAATTTAAATAGAGAGACATTTTGAAGATTTGAAGAAAAAAAAAAATACTCTTGATAAAATACTGTATCTCAATGCCCACCTAATAAAATTCTTTTTTCTGAATTCTGCGCATTCATATAATTTATATAATTCAAATAAAAATGAGGTGATTTGATTTTTTTTAAAGTGTTAAGCAAAAGTATCTCGACAACTACATAACTAAATTCGATGAAAAAAAAAATTATAGATAAGGCCATATAAAAAAATTTTCTTGGTTTACATAACTATATAAGCCGACTTAGCCAACTAAGCCAGCTGAAATAATATGGTCAGCTGGCTAATGCGGCGAATAGCTGCATTATTTATCGTAATCCCACTGGGATTACGATAAATTCCAAGAAAAATGAATAACATAAAATACTTTGAAAGTAGACTATTAATCTGCCGCTTAGCCGATGTTTTTAATCGGCTGGCTTAGCCAGCCGACTAAAAATCATGTGGCTTACAACATTATATTAGACATAGTAAATAAGTATATATATATTTATGAATATGATTTGTAAACATAAACAAGATTTGTAAAAATAAATCATTTTTAAAGCTCTATAATCTTAGCGGGTCTTTTTAAAGCTCTATAATCTTAGCGGGTCTTTTTTTTTCCTAATTTGCTTGCAGTGTAACCTTTCTTTACTTGTGTGTGTTGGATTTGCTGCTTTTCGTAATCTGTGTTTCATTTGTGCATAAGATCGGCGAACAAAATTTCCTCTAA